CAGACAGCTACAGGTTTGAAGCCTGCACCCCAGACCACTGAGGATCATCCGGGCAGGAGGCCGTCTTCTCACACACCCATATAAAGGCCGAAGGAACATAACTTTTTCCAGTAGGGTTATATAGTTTCTGAAAGTGTGCGAGCGTTGATTTCAACACCTATAAATCATTCTCGTGTAACCGTCACCACAAATGACATTTCAAAGTTCTCTCTGCCTTGTCCTATGGCATGAATCATCCTCACTCTGGATGTTGGCTATTTACATAGTGCCCTGCATTCTGGGAAGCAGATCTCTGGGACCTGGTCAGGTGTTAAAGAGGCAGCAATTCCTGTGTCCAGAGTGCACCCTCAGTTTCAGAGAAGAAACTCATGGATTGACGGGAGGGGAGGGGAATGGGAAAAAAAGAGGAAGCAAGACATGTCATGTACAGGTACAAATTCCCTATCATGAGTGCTATCCTTAGGTGTATCTAACACATGTTATTAAAAAGAAAGAAGGAAATCATGTTAAGCAACAGACATGGTGCTACATGCCTGTAATCCCAGCACTCAGAAAGTTGAACCAGGAGAATTGCCTGTGAGGTCAAGGCCATCCTGTGCCACATTCTGAGTTCAAGCCCATTTCATAGGACATAGCAAGACCCTGTCTCAAAAGAAAAAAGAAATAGCTCTTGGCTATCATGGTGGCTCAAGCCTGCAATCCCAGCTTTGGGAGGCTGAGGCAGGAGAATCACCTCCAGATGGAGGCCAGCCTGGGTTATCTACTGAATCCAGGACCAGCGTGAACTACGTAATGAAACTGAGACAGGAAGGTAGGGTGGGGCTAAAACTGGTTGGGAAAGGAGGTGGGACAAGACAAAGGACAATGGACAAATGCTTAGAACAGTTGCTAAAGGTCTGCATGTGGACTTCTGGGAACTTGAACAGGTTTTCCAGGAAATGCCCTAGACCTGATGTCAGCTTCAGGAGGGGGTGGGGTGATAAAAAAATCACAGTCCTGCTGTTGGCTTCTTCTTTCTTGCCTGCCTGGCAGATTCATTCTTTTGGGCATCATGGAGTTGTTTTCCTACATACTGCTCTCTAGAATATCTTTCTGAACACTTTGAAGTACTGTTTGGTGCTCCTGAATTTCCTTGTGTGTTCTTTCCATCAGTTTTGAAAGTTAATTTTGGGGGATACATCAGTCTGGGTTGGTGGTTGTTTTCCTTTAGGACTTGAACACTCCAAGCTCTCTTTGATTTGAGAGTTTGTGTTGAGAAGTCTGCTGTGATTCTGATGGGCTCTCCTTTATCAGTGATTTGTTTCTTTTCTCCAACAAATTTTCATTTTCATTCTTGTGCTGAATTTCTGGAACCTTGACTCTCAAGCCTTGTTGGAGATTTTTTTATTATGCTAATTGGAGTTCTATAAGCCTCTTGTATCTGTGTGTCAAAGTTTTTTTGCCTGTGTTTGATGCATTTTGCCCTATCTCCTGCTTTTTCATCCACTCTGATCAATCCTATGGAATTGTTCTTTGTATCACCTAGAAGCTACTGGATTGACTTCTCACAGTGCCTTGATATTCTTAAGAAATCTTTCTTTTCATGATCACTGACTGCACTTCTGTCTGCTCTATCTGATATTCTGTATTAATATTGGCTCATTCTGCTGTGTATACTTTCAAACTAATTTTTAATCTCCTGAATATCTGTTTGAATGTGTTTTGTGGATTCCATTTCTTTTCTGTGCTGGGCATTCATGGTTTCCATTGTATTTCTGAACTCCTCTATTTTTTTGTCTGTGTCTGCATTACAGTCACTATGTTTGTATTTCATTATGGTGAGCATCTCTAGTTCTCTGTCAAATTTTGTCTCCTTTTATTGCACAGAATCTTTTTTTTTTTTTTTTTAGGTACCAGGGATCAAACTCGAGTCCTTGTGCTTGTGAGGCAGGAGGCAGAACTGCTAAATCCCCAGCCTTTTCCTTTTATTACAGATAGGTAAGTTAATTAGATATCTTGTGGGCAGTTAGACAGGGTCACCCTCAAGTAGCCAACACAGCAAGGAGCCAACATGAAGGACAACCAAGACACATTCACTGAAGGCCAGAACTGTAAAAGGAGAGAAACTGACACACCCTTGTGCTTCCCCTGTGGATAAATAGCAGTGATTGCTATTCTAAACAGTTGTCAATCACCAGGGTGGGAGGCCAACCTTTCCAGGAAAGATCCCTGACCCCACCTTTACTGAAAATCCTTCTAAACTTGTGATGTGACTTTCTCCCCCATTTGACCACCATTTAGTCAATACTGCCTGGGCGACTGTACTTGTAATCTTATTGGTTGGTCTTGGTTTTGCCCCACCTCATGCCCCCCTTTTAATTTTACTTTGGGTCTATAGTTTTGTCCCACCTTGTACCCACCTCACCACATGGCTTTGTTGTATAAAACATCTTTGAGAAGTAGCGGGGGTAGGCAGCCCACTTTCTGATCCGCCTTCTGTCCCTCTGAGACAGAAGCTTTCTTTCCCTCAATAAAAATTTCCTACTCTTAACCCCTGTTGTTCCGAGAATTCATTCTTCAGTTTTAGTGAACATGAACTTGTGTTTCAGATATCTAGCAGGTTTGGGAGTTACATGTTTGCCCCCTTTATCAGGTTGATTTTTTTTCTAGAGCCTCATTCAACTGCTTTTGTTACCTCTGCTGTTACCATTTCAGAGTCCAGGTGTGTGGCCTTCAGAACGTTCCCCCTGGGTTTGCCTTTGGGGAGCTGAAATTTGGGTGAAGAAGGGGGTTACATCTTTTATGAACGTTTTCTCATTTTCCACTTCTTAAACATTAAGTTGATTGGTACATTTTAGGTATACAATATTTAATTCATCACTGGGATCTTGTACCTTTACATGATGTACCTTAGTTCTTATTTTTCCCCATTCCCCTGCCCTCCCTTCACCTCCTCCACTCTTCCCTCATTTGCCAGTTTTTTTAATTTTTTTTTCCCTGAGTTGCCGCTTGTAAGTCACTTTGGCAAGCAGCTTTGTTGCCAGTATTCAGACCTTGTGAAATGACTAGCTTTCAGAGGTGCCTTCCCTGTGGAGCTGGCTTTTGCGTTTTGAGCCTTTTGCAAGGTCTTCCATTTACAATGTATTGGGGATGAGAAGTTTCTGCCTTCTTGGCCCAGCCCCTGTTTGTTTGTTTGTTTGTTTTCTTTTTTGGGTTGTGGGAGGTGGGGGCAATGGTCTATAGAGTCTTTTTAAGGCCCTTAGGCAATCTCAGTCTTGGTATACTGGGAAAAACCAAGGATTAGCACAATCATGTAGCCTTGGCTAAAGTAGTACAATCAGCAAGAACAATAGCTTCCAACACAGCCTAGAAAATGACAAACTGGTAACTTAATTTTCCACCTTTGGCCACATGAACTAGCTTTGTGGACCTATAACAAAATCGAAAATTAACAAGAAAATTATATGCAATGCATAAGCCAGCAACATGGTGATTTTACCCTAAGGAGACAACATTTAAAAGGGCTTAGGGGTAAAAACATAGAGCAATAGTAAAAGAGGAAGATCACACAAACTTTGGGAAACTGGTGAGGAAGACAAGCAGGAAAGAGAAAGGAGGCCTCTGCACTCCCCAGCAGTCACCATGTTTCTATGGAACCGTTCCTGCCCCGAGAAAGCACTGCCTGCTGAGCCGCTCCTTAGCAGGAAGTCTCTCTCTGCTATCCGCTTGGAATTCAATTCTTGATTCGGGTCACTCCAGCCTCCTGAGGACCCGCATTCACTTCTCCTCCTCTCCCTGCTCTACTCCAGTGTCAGGGCACCAATCCTCAGAGAGGCACCTTCCCTTCTGATCACCACACCACCATCTTCCTGGAAGTCCTAAAAAGGCCAGTCCACACTGGGTTTTAGCAACTGTGTTTGCTCTTGCACGCTGGCCTGCCCTCACACTGTTGGGTGTACTTCTTTTCCTACTTTTACTTTGTCCAAACTCACTCTGTACAGCCTGTTTTTAAATAAATTTTTAATTAAATGTTTGCTGTTTTTTGGAAAAAAAAAAAAAAAAAAAAGCAGCCCTGGGCCAGGGGAAGATGTCAAATACATCCCCATTATCCCGAAGCTCAGTACTCCTGGATTCCTATGTGGGGGAACAACTCCCTGTTTGTGCCCCATGCTAGAAACCTGGTCTGTTGGCAGGGCATGGTGGCACATGCCTGTAATCCCAGCACTCGGGAGGCTGAGGCAGGAGGAGCGCTATGTGTTCGAGACCAGCCTGGACTACATAGTGAGTTCCAGGTCAGTCTCAACTACATAGTGAGACCCTGTCTCAAAAAACCAAAAAAAAGAAAAGAAACCTGGTCTGTTCTTCATTGTCCTGTCAGTATTACCTGGCTGTGTACAGCTCCTGAAAATCTGAGTCATCCTTCCCTCCTCCAGTAGGAAAAGGAGGGCCATGACCTTCAGGGAGCAGAAGCCTGACTTTCCTCACAGTGACTGCCAGGTTAGAAGCTGGGAAGACAACACACTCACACACACACACACACACACACACACACACACACTCTCTCTCTCTCTCTCTCTCGCACACAGGACTCTGTAGTGAACCAGCTTGCAGCAGGAACAGGGTCAGTCACCCTGATGCCAGGGCAGGTTTCCTTGTCTGATGGCTTCCTGCGGTCTGCACTTTTCCTTCCTGTAGTCACCACCTCTGCGCTTGGTAATTCAATGTACAACGGCAGAAGCCCTTAGTCTAAGGCTCCCACTGGGCCAACTCGACTGGGGCTGTCATCACCACTGAGTCCCCAGCAGTGCACAGGATGGGGCTGGTCTCTAGCAGAACTCCACAAAGGCTTGTGACTGAGGGGTTGAGAAAATTAGCAAATATCTGAGGGAAAAGTACAGGTGTGATGAAATACACAGGTGCATGACTGACTGAATAGCCATTGAAGGGTAAAACCCACATGTATATCCTGGAGCCATGTAGAAGAAACGTTCTTCGTCTCTTCCAGTAACCTCTGATATTACCGAGGAAAAAGGAGCCACAGTCAGAGTCCCACATGGAAGAGCATCACCAGGGATGTAGAAGGCTGCAGACACCTCTCCAGGTGCCGCCATGGGAACGTCTCTTGAGGGAACTCACAGTCTCACCTGTGCCTCCCAAAAGGGGATCAGAGAAGGAGCATCGCCCGGAAGGTGGAATCGAACCACTCTGTCGCCAGACAGCTACAGGTTTGAAGCCTGCACCCCAGACCACTGAGGATCATCCGGGCAGAAGACCATCTTCTCACACACCCATATAAAGGCCAACAGAACATAACTTTTTCCAGTGTGGTTATATAGCTTGTGAAAGTGTGAAAGAGTTAATTTCAACACCTATAAATCATTCTCGTGTAATCGTCACCACAAATGACATTTCAAAGTTCTCTCTGTCTTGCCATACGGCATGAATCATCCTCACTCTGGATGTTGGCTATTTACATAGCGCCCTGCATTCTGGGAAGCAGCTCTCAGGGACCTGGTCAGGTGTTAAAGAGGCAGCAATTCCTGTGTCCAAAGTGCACCCTCAGTTTCAGAGAAGAAAGTCATGGGTTGACAAGAGGGAAAGGGAGTGGGAAAAAAAGAAGCATCACGTTCAGGTACAAATTACCTAACACGAATGCTATAATTATGTATATCTAAAATGTGTCAATTTAACAAAAAGAAAAAAATCATCATGTTAATACCAGGCATGGTGCTCCATGCCTGCAATCGCAGCACTCAGAAAGCTGAGCCAGGAGGATCACCGGCAAGTTCAAGACCAGCCTGGGCCACATAGTGAGTTCAAGCCCAGCTCAAATTACACAGGGAGACCCTTTCTCAGAAGAAAACAAAGGAAAAGAAATACTTCTTAGATAGGCATGGGGGCTCAAGCCTGTAATTCTAGCATTTTGGAAGTTGGGACAGGAGAATCACCTCAAGGTGGAGGCCAGTCTATGCTACCTGGTGAATCCAGGGCCAGCCTGTAGTACCTAATGAGTCTGAGACAGGAAGGTAGGGTGAGGCTAAAACTGGCTGGAAAAGGAGGCAGGACAAGATCCAGGAGCACATGCGCAGAACAGTTTGTAGAGGCCTGCACGTGGAATTCTCCTGAGAACTCCAGCAGGTTACCCGTCAGATGGATGGCTTAGACCTGATGTCAGCTTCAGGAGTGGGTGATAAAAGAAACCAGACTCCAGGAGCTGGGTGTGGTGGCGCACGCCTGTAATCCCAGCACTGGGGAGGCTGAGCAGGCGGATCACTGTAAATTCAAAACCAGCCTGGGCTACATAGTGAGTTCCAGGGCAGTCTCAACTACATAGTGAGATCGTGTCTCAAACAAACAAACAAAAAAACAAACAAAAAAACAAAAACCACACTCCAGGGTCAGTGGTGCTGCCTAGTTAGTAGGCACAAGGTCCTGAGTTTGATCCCCAATATATATTAAAAAAAGACAAAAATCATAGCCCTTCTTTCCCCTTATGTTTAATTTCTTGCCTGTCCTAGTAGATTCCTTCTGTTGGGCATTATGGAGTTTTAATCTTTGATATCGCTTTCTAGAATATCCTTCAGAACATTTTTGTGTGCTGTTTGGTGTCCTTAATTTCCTGGTGTGTTTTTGTCGTGGAAGTATCCAATTTCTCATCCATTTTGAAAGATACTTTTGGAGGATACCTCAGTCTGGGTTGGTGGTTGTTTTTCTTTAGGGCTGGAACACTCCAAGCTCTCCTGGATTTGAGGGTTTGTGTTGAGACGTCTGCTGTGGTTATGCTGGGCTCTCCTTTTTCGGTGATTTGTTTCTTTTCTCCAACAGCCTTTGATTTTCTGTTCTTAGTCTTCATTTGTGGAATCTTGATTACTATATCCCTTGTTGAAGATTTCCTTTTGATCGTGGCTATTGGAGGTCTATAAGCTTCACTCATCTGTGTGTCAAACTCTTTTTCTCAGTTTGGGAAGTGTTCCGCAATTCCTTCTATGATTAGGTATTTTAAGTCATTTGAACTATCTCCTGCTTCTCCATTGACTCCGATCAATGTTGTTATTGTTCTTTGCATCATCTAGCAGCTGCTGGATTGACCTGTCATGTTTCATTCCTATTTTTAAGAAATCTTTCTTTTCATGATTACTCACTACAATCGTATCTTGTCTTTCTGATATTCTGTCTTCACATTGGATCATTCTTCTGTGTTTACTTTCAATCTAACTTGTATTGTCCTGGATATCTGTTTGAATGTGTTTCATGGATTCCATTTCTTTCCTATGCTGGGCATTCATGGTTTCCATCGTGGTCCTGAGCTGCTCTATTTTTTTTTAATCTGCATGTTTGTTAGCGTCACTGAGCTTGTCTTTCATTATGTTCACCAACACCATAGTTATCTGAGGTATAATCTTGCTTTGATATTTTTTCTAGAGCCTCATTCATCTGCTTTGTTACTTCTGCTGTTACCATTTCAGAGTGTCCAGGTGTGTAGGTTTCGGAATGTTCCCCTTGATTTCCCCCTGGGTTTGCCTTTGGTGCCTTGAAAGTTGGTACAGGGGCTATGTCTTAAGTACCTTCTCATTTCCCAGCTTTTAAATTTTTGCTTCCTTAGGTGCAGCTTGTAAATGGCTTTTGGTGATCGAGCTGCTTTGTTACCAGTATTCAGAACCCTTAGGAAGTGTTCTCAGATGTTTCTTCTAGGTGTAGCTGCTGTTGGGGTTTTGAGCCTTTTGCAAGGTCCTACATTTACAATGTTGGAGATGAGAGGTTTCTGCCCTCTTGCGCCAGCCCCCATTTTGTTTGGCAATGGCCTATAGAGTCTTTTTGAGGCCCTTAGGCAATCTCAGTCTTGGTATACCAGGAAAAACCAATGATTAGCACAATCATGTCACTTTGGCTGAAGTAGTACAATCAGCGAGAGCAATAGCTTCCAATGCAGCCTAGAAAATGACAAACTGGAAATTATTAATTTCCCACCTTTGACCATGTGAACTAGCTTTCTGGTCATGTAACAAAATGAACCAAAAGGGCCAGGGATTTAGCTCATTGGTTCTGCCGCCTGCCTTGAAAGCACAAGGTCCCGAGTTCAATCCCTGGTACCAAAATAAAATAAAACTGGAAAATTGTATGCAATACATAAGCCCTCAACATGGCAATTTTACCCTTAGGAGACTACACTTAAAAAGGCTTAGAGGTAAAAACATAGAGCAGTAGAAAAAGAGGAGGCGCATTAGAAACAGAGGAGTAAGGCTGGCAGACAAGGGAAGAAGACCACACAACACTGGGACGTTGGTGAAGAAGACAGAGGAAGAGGAGGAGGAGGAGCTCTGGAGGGGCCCAGTATTCACTGTGCTTCTGCGGGGTCCAGGCCCCCTTCCCGTGCTGTAGTTCCAGTTCTGGGAGACAGCACTGCCTGCCAAGTGACTCCTTTGCTGTCCCCGTGGACTTCAGATCTTGATTTGAGTCTTTCCAGCCTCCTGAGGCCCCACTTCCCTCCTCCTCCTCCTCTCACCGCTCGGGTCCAGTGTCACGACACCAAATCTCAGTGAGGTTCTTTCTCTGCTGCTCACCGCCCCATCCTCCTGGAAGTCCCAAAGTCCCCGCTGAGTTTTGCCACTGTGGTGTGTGCTCCTGCATGCTGGCCCACCCTTCTTTTGACTTGCCCCAAACTCACACTGTAGACCCTGTTTGTACTTTTATCTTTAATTAAACCTTATGAGTGTTTCAAAAAAAAAAAAAGACCACCCTGGGCGGGGGCAGCTAGCAACTAAATCCCTGCAGCCCTCACTACACCCAGAAGGCTATGGGGGAGAAGGACAGCTTTCTCGTGGTGACCCAGTCTTGCAACCCGGTCTGCTCTTCACTGTCCTGTCAGTATTCACGAGCTGTGTGTGGCTCCCAAAAATCTGAGTCATCCTTCCCTCCTCCAGGAGGGCCATGAACTTCAGGGAGCGGAGGCCTGACTTGCCGCGGTGACAGTCAGGTTAGAATCTAAGAGAGAGAGGGTGGGGAGAACTCTAGTGAACCAGCTTGCTGCAGGATGGAAAGAGGCTAGAGGTCAGGACCGACTCCCCACACACACAGGGCCTGCCTCTCAGGAGGGAAAAGTAAGGAGGCAAAAGCTCGCTCGCTGTGAGGGTTTGGTGAGCTCAGGGGTCTCAGAGGCATCCTGGTGAAGGAAGAGTTTTGCTCAGAGGTGGGATGCCCAGAGGCCTCAGCAAATCCCACCCTCTTATTTGCATGGCAGCAGCACTCTGAGGAGAGAGGCAGTGGCCTTTGAGTGGATTAGCAAGTGAATCAGCGGGACAGTTGGAAGGCGCAGTGACACACACCTGTCATCACTTGGAAGGCTGAGGCAGGAGGATCAGAAATTTCCACCTAGGCTTGCCTACTGTGAGAGGCTGTCTGAAAAACAAACATGTGTTTCCTAAGGACCTCCTGTGAACTGGGGACAGGGAGAGGACTAGAACCCCTGCCCTGGCTTGCTGGCCTAGGGCTCATGAGGAAATGGTGGCTACAGATCCGTCCCCAGTGAGAGATGACACAAAGCAGACAGGGATGCGGGTCTCAAGGAATGGTGGGGGCCCGGCAGGTCAGTCTAACCTTTGTTGAACATCAAGAAGGTCTTCCTGGAGTAGGGCCCAGCTGTGCTGTGGTCTAGAGGACACAGGGCAAGGATGGATGGGACTAAAAGGCTGGGGCCAGAGCACTGAAAGCTGTAAGACCTGCTGGGGAAGACAGGGCTGGATGAGTAGAAGGTGGTAAATGTTCATGGTCATGGAGCAACGATGTGGGGAGAGGTGAGCAGGGACCACTTTCTGCAGGCCATTAATTTTCCAGGTGAAACAGTTTAAACTTTCTCTTGAGGGCACTAGGGAGCCATGGGAGATTCTGAGCACAGGAGAGGCAAAGGGATAGTTCTGCTTTAAGATGACTTCTTTAGCTATCAGGCTGAATGTGATTGGGACTAGACTAAGACTGGCTAACAGGCCCGGAGCAAGACCATCTGTCACAGGACAAGGATTCGTTAGGCATTTAGCACCAAGCATGGCAGTGAATGCGTGTGATCCCAGCACTCTGAGAGACTGAGACAAGAGGATCTCAAGTTCCAGTCCAGTCTGTGCAATTTAGCGACACAGTGACAACCTGGCTCAAAATATTTAAAAGGAGCTGGGCGTGGTGGTGACACCCGTAATCCCAGCACTCAGGAGGCTGAGGCAGGAGGATTGCTGTGAGTTTGAGACCAGCCTGGGCTACATAGTGAGTTCCAGGTCAGTCTCAACTACATAGTGAGACCCTGACTCAAAAAAATAAAAACCCCAAAAAATATTTAAAAGGGCTGGAGATGTAGCTCGGTGCTCTGGCCTTGGATTTAATCTCCATCACTACCCACCACCACCCCACACCTCCACTGACCGAATGAGTCAGTGAAGGGGAGAATCCTGGAGGGACTGTCCTGGAGCTGTGTAAAAGAAATGTCATCTGTGACTTTCCTGAGCAGAAGGAACCTCAGGCAGAGGTTGCTGGCCAGAGTGTCAATGGGGATGTAGAACACTGTGGCCACTTCTCCAGGTGCTGGCGTGGGACTGTGTCCCGGGAGACCTGACCCACTCCAGCGTGGTTTGCAGGTGGGGCGAAAAGAGCAAGAGTCGCCCGGAAGGTGGAATCGAACCACTCTGTCGCCAGACAGCTACAGGTTTGAAGCCTGCACCCCAGACCACTGAGGATCATCCGGGCAGGAGGCCATCTTTTCACACACCCATATAAAGGCCGAAGGAACATAACTTTTTCCAGTAGGGTTATATAGTTTCTGAAAGTGTGGGAGCATTGATTTCAACACCTATAAATCATTCTCGTGTAATCGTCGCCACAAATGACATTTCAAAGTTCTCTCTGTCTTGCCGTACGGCATGAATCATCCTCACTCTGGATGTTGGCTATTTACATAGCGCCCTGCATTCTGGGAAGCAGCTCTCAGGGACCTGGTCAGGTGTTAAAGAGGCAGCAATTCCTGTGTCCAAAGTGCACCCTCAGTTTCAGAGAAGAAAGTCATGGGTTGATGGGAGGGGAAGGGAATGGGAAAAAAAGAAGCAAGATATATCACGTACAGATAGAAATTCCCTATCATGAGTGCTATTGTTATGTGTATCTAAAATGTGCTAATTTTTAAAAAGAAGAAAAAAAGTAATCATCATGTTAGGCACCGGGCATGGTGCTCCATGCCTAAGAATCTCAGCACTCAGAAGCCCGGGGCAGGAGGATTTCTTGCAATATTCCATAGAGCATACAAACCCAGCTCAAATTACACCGGGAGATGCTGTCCCAAAATAAGTACATAATAAAATAAAAAGAACAAAATTTTGGATAGGCATGGTGGCTTAAGCCTATAATCCTGGTAGTTGGGAGGTTTGGTCAGAAGAATCAAATTCCAGGCCTGCTTGGGCTACCTTGGTGAGTTCAAAGCCAGTCTGAACTCCACGAGATTGTGACAGGAAGGTAGGGCATGGCTAAAACCTGCTGGGAAAGGAGTCAGACAAGATCCAGGAGCACATGCTCAGAACAGTTCCCAAATTCCTGCATGTGGACTCCTCCTGAGAAATCCAAGTGGTTTTCCTGAGGGCCTAGAACTGATGTCAGCCTGAGGAGTGGGTGATGCAGAAGGACAGTCCACACTGAGGTTTTACCATTGGGTGCAGTCTGGCATGCTGGCCCACCCTGACACTGTAGGTTGTCCCTCATGTCCTACTTTGACTTGTCCCAAAATCGATCTGCAGAAAATGTTCCTTTTCCTATCTTTAATAAAAGTGTCCTACGGTTAACAGAGTGAGACAGACAAAGACAGAGAAAAAATTCATAATTCGGCATTCAGAAACACCTTTCCGGACGTATCTGAGTTCTTCCACAGAAGAGTAAATTCACCTTAGGGTCATGGAAGAGGCCCAGAAGGCTGTGGATATAGTGTTGGTGCGACACCTACTGTCCTTTTTGGGAACTGCGAGGCCAAAGATCCCCTCAAGTGTTGTGTCCACTATGTCCCAGGCACTGTCCTAGTGTCCCCACTGCCTTTAAATACCAGTGATCATTACACTTTATATCTCTGTATTATAGGGCAGGGTAACAAGGCTGAAAAACGGAATATATGATAACACAGTTCATAAAACCCATCCAGACGTTGCCGTTATAAAAATGCTGATTCTTTAGAATGTAAAGTCAAAGGTTTCTTGATAATATTATTTTCCCAAAGGAAAACCTCCTAATGAGCACCCTGAATGACATAAAATTATTTTTTTAGCAATCAGCCAATCTTAATGCTGCAAGGAAGGCTAACTTCTCATGAGGGCCGGGAACTATGTAGAAAGAGCAAGTGGTAATCTCAGATAAATGGGAAATTTGAAAGAGCAAAAATGATCAGGTCTCCTCCTTTCTCTACTGTCCTGTGCTCCTTTAGATCCCAAAGCTGTCTCCCTTTGTGCCAAAATGGAGGATGGGTGCACGAGCTGTTAACGACAGTCAGTGCAATGTCCCTGAGAGAAGCACGAGGCTGGGCATCCTGAAGAACCTGACCTGCGCAGGTGTGACCCAGGGAGGGCTCAAAAACCAGGGATGAAAGAGCAAATGATCAGGTCTCCTCCTTTCTCTACTGTCCTGTGCTCCTTTAGATCCCAAAGCTGTCTCCCTTTGTGCCAAAATGGAGGATGGGTGCACGAGCTGTTAACGACAGTCAGTGCAATGTCCCTGAGAGAAAAGC